CTCATAGATCAGTTTAGGATTTTCCAAGTCCCAGGCGAAGACGCGTAAAGTAACATTGCCCCTGTTCAATGTTTTCTTCCATATAAACGTCCAGACCTCAGTCTCATGGGGGAAACATCATAAGGCAGTTTCATAGTACCCAGCTTTGATCTTTATGCCCTAGTAAAGGTGTAGTTGGCCTTACTGGGGCTCAGAGTCATGTTCTTCCACAAGACTATCAGATTACTACTTGTTTTCCGTTGTGTGTTCTTTTAGGACCTTACTTTGTTTTTACTTGTTAACTTCAACGTTTTGAGGGAGGGAGCCGATGGTGGAGGTGAAAACTGAAAACGGTCAGTCAATGTCCTGGGCGCTTGATCCGTCTTTCCCTCTCACCCAGAAAGATTTTGCTGCACTGGGAAGTAAGGAGAATAAAATCTTGACTGTACTCCTACTGAAGAGACTCGCTCATTGGGTTTTGCTCCTCTGCTCCCATCTGTCTCGAGTCTTGTTGTTTCTTTCACTCTGAGCATCTCCGCTCCAAGAAGGCATGAACTTTTTCTTTCACTTCCTTTCTTCTCTGGGTGATGGCCTGACATCACTCTGGGAAGGAGGCTGAAGGTTACTGAATATAAACACTGTCACTCCTATCTGGCTTAGGCAGAAAGGTAGGCTGGGCACCCAGGGGGTCTGGAGGTAGGAGATGCCAACCATGGTGCCAAGGCCTCAGGAGCCACACGTGCGCACGAGGGCTCTGTGTCTCTGTGCCTTTACATACTGGAGGGCACCGTGGAGGACGCATTTCCTCTGGAGTCGCCATTAACCATCTACCGCTCTAGGAGGATGAAAGGTGGGAGTGAGTTGGTAGTGGAAGTCGTTATGGGGGAGAGGCCATCTGGGGTCGGCAGAGGGCTGGGTCTGCTCACGGGAGTGGCCCTGAGCCGAAAGAAGCCCGCTGGAGTGGGCCGGAAAGCCCAGGGGTCAGCCGGTGCAGCCCCAGAGAAAGCGGTGGGCTCTCAGCCCCAGAGGAGGGCAGCCTCCCGCAGCGAGCCACGGGGGGGGGG